GGCATCTCGCCTTCCAAAGTACACAGGAAAAGGGAAAAGAGTGAAGATCACATAAATCACTGCTGCTGTGGGGGACAGCTCCCTGAAAGGGGTCTCTTCTTTAGTCTGTGGGGCAGTAGTGGTGATAAAAGGCTAGTAGAGATGGATGAATGTAATTGAGTGGTGTGAAAGAGGGGATGGGATGAAATGAAAGTGAAATGAAATAGGAAATGAAGAGGAATGGCAGGTGGGAGGAAGAAATTACATATTCCCCAGAGCAATATTTTAGGTTATGGGTAGTTTGCTTCATATCTAGGTGGGCCCCTAGCCCTCACTTCTAACTGAATCAAGGACAGAAATCTGAGAAATAAAACAGACGAGAAATAATGGAAAACAGGTTAGTTGATGCTCACACATGTATTTTCTGGTCAGACAAATTTGATTATATTGCTTCATGGTGGGGAAAAAAAAATCCAGCCATGAGTGTTGGATGAAAAGATGCCATATCCAGATCTGTTATGTGGGAAAGACCTCTGGACATTTCTGAGTTAGAAATTAGAGGTACACCTCAAACAATGGTAAAAGGTTTAGCAAAGATCTGCAAAATGTGCCCACACAGGAATATTTGTCAAAAATAAGGGTTATTCCATGACTTAACTGCTCTGCATAGCATCCTCTCCTATGGCAGTGGTGCTCACATTCTCAGGTGAGATCCAAGTTATTTGTGCTCCTCATGGGCTAGTTCACCATTTTTCTGGTGAAAGGCAATGTGGGCTTTCTCCCCTCAAAGTCAGCTTTTACATTCTCTCAGATGGATGTCTCCAAAAAACCTGTGACCTCCAAAAGAAGAACTGTTGGTCATCTTTTTCAGCCTGTCAGGGTTAAGCATGACCATTCTCCATCTCTGCTCTCACCTGAAGGGCTCAGAGCAGCTTCTACTATGGAGCCATGAAACCAAAGTAAGGCAGGACTGTGTCCCTGTGGAGCAAAAGTTGTTGGAGTAGACCCGGGGGTGATCTTCCAAGCATCAGTGGTTTGAAAATCCCAGCTGGAGAGAGATGCACAAGATTTGGTCATTTTGTGCTGGCACGTGATTGTCCACACTTGGCTGCAGGTCCCCTAATTCTGCTCTCTGTGACTCAAGCTCAAAGCCAGGGTCTGCTCTCAGCAAGATTTCACTGATGTGAATCTCAGATGAACCATCCTCAGTGATGACCTGAAATCCAGGAGCCCTCAGTTCTACTGCCAGGTCTGCTGCAGGTTTTTAGCTTCACCTTGGGCAAGTCTCAGCTCTTTTGAGTTTCAGTTTCCTGCCTGGAAAGCAGAGGATTCAGTTCCTTTCCTCAGAGCAGCATGGTTTTATAAAGTACAAATATTTGTGAAGTTAAGTGCTTTGACTGTGTGAGCCTCTGAGAGAAGAAACCATAAATATGTGTCAGGCCTATGATCTGAATTCAAACCAGTGAACTAGAAAAAGTGTTGACAGCCTGAAACCAACTGCCCTGTACACACATCTCCTTCTGTCTACCTGAAAGATTATTTGTGGAATGTGTTTCTATTTTTCTCTGACAAAAAAATAGAATACCAAGCAAAGAAGCATGACCCAGTTCTTTGTCAGGCAAGCTCTAAACCCTGCTTACTGGGATGTGACTGAGGTATTGATAAAAGAGAAGCTCATTTTAGGCCACAGTATTCATCCTGCCCTTGAGGAAGAAACAAAGCCTGCCACCTTCAGATGAAATGGATGTGCTTTCCAAGTCAAAGTATGTTTATCTCCTCCACAACTTCTCTGTGATCCGTAATTATATTTGGACCAGCCAGTGAAACAGGCGAGTGGCAAATGAGGAGAGTCAGGAATGTAACTAATCATTTTATAATAGGAAAAATCCAAGCAGTACACCACTGACAGCACCTGCAAACTCTGCTAATAGTCAATCAATAGGTCTGATAAGAGCATCACTCATCACAAACTGCTTCACCTTCAGCAATCTTTCATGGTCCTTTCTCTGTGTAGTGCCAAGCATGGGTGCACACCATGCTGTTCCTGATGTTGGTCATAGGAGTGGACTTCCTTCAAGGTTTTGTTTTGGGTTTTTTTATATAGCATATAGTATATTCAAAACAATATCAAGTCATACCACACTGAGCTTTTTATTACCAGAGATTTTTGGACAGAAGCACATAATCTAAGTTTTCTGAATTAATAGGCAGATGGTAGCTAAATTTTTTTTTTTGGTATTTTTTTTTCCCAACTTGTACATTTTAGATTTACAGAACTTGATTTCACACATCTGAAGAAACACTGACATAAATCTAAATTTATCTTTGATGCATTTACAAATACTCTTTTTCTTTTTATTTTTTTCATTTCCTGAAGTGTCTCTGTCTAGACTTCTGCCAAAAACCAGAAACTTTCATTTTCTCCTCTGTTAACACAAGTACCTTTTAACATTATGCAGAGAATGGCATGACTGTCAGTTTCCCATGAGGATATGAGGACCATTCCATCCACCACAGAAACACATCTGCTTTCCATTGGCCAGGATAAGTAGCTCTGACATCTTCCTGCTACACACTGTGCTACTGTGAATATCCCTGAAATGCAGAATATTTCTGACTCTAGGCTTCTTGAATTCTTTTTTATTATTTTCAGCTTGGTTCCCTGAAACAATGAAGGTTAGTTGCATCTGACTCTTAATTGGACTTCACGTTCTATCAGTCATTATTTTTGCAAAGGCCTTAATTGCCCTCTAAAACATTTTAATTAAAACAGCAATTTCTCGATGCCGCACTTCGCGAGCAGATTTTTGCGGCAACTTCAAAGAGACGCAGATGTTTACTGAATTTGGTGGGGTGGCATTTGAGGCTGCCTACTGGCAAAGAAAAATTCATAAACATCTCGAAGAAACTTTCCTGTGGTAATGACAACATTTCCTTCTGACATTTTAGCAAGTCTAATACTTCCCAATCTCAACAGGCAGATTTCCTGGGCACGGCACAAGCAGCGTTATCTGCTCACAGGATGAGCCATGGCAGCAGCTCTGCTGTGGGGTAAAAACCTCCCGGTGGTGACACCTTGGGCTTTGGCAAAGGGTACCAGAGGCCACACGTGGGTTTGTTTGTGGGGCTTCTCTAATGGAGTATCAGTAGACTGGGAATAAGGAAACCAGAGTTCAGTTTCTGCTGGATTTTCCACGGCTCCCCAGTGTGATTGTGGGAGGCTGTTTTGCTTTGTGTGCTTCAGTTCCAGCTGGTAAAAGGCTGGTAACATGTCCTGGCTTTGAGTGGACTTACCTGCTGGTCTGTCTCCTAGTGCACCAAGGGGTGCTTGAGGGGGTCTTGGGGCTTATAAAGAGCTGTTTGAGTAAAATTCAGAAATGCTAGGGGTTTATTTTGGAGGAGTTTCTCTTTACTAGTGGCAGTTGAGCCTGGAGCTGACCTTATAGTCCATTTAGGGGTAAGCAGGCAGGCAGTGTTCCCCTCTGAACTGAGATGATGGTACTGGACACATGGCCATGGCAGACTACTAAAATATAGAGTAGGGTCCAGGTATCTTCTGTGGTTTGGGCAGGGGGCTGTCCCCAGAAAATACCCAGCCTGTCCAGCTGAGCCACCAGGGAGGGTGGTCTCCGTGTGCAAGGATCTCCGTCACTCACAAGTGATGGTGAGGCTCACACTCATTTCTGTGCACAGAACCAAAATTCTTAATGCTGGAAATGACCTCTAAAATCACCAAGTCCAGCTGTTAACCTCACACTGCCATCTTCACCACTAAACCATGTCCCCAGGTGCCACATTGTGGCCTTTTCTGGACCATTCCAGGGATAGTGATTCTACCATTTTCTGTGTCGTCTCTTTCTTTCCTGGGTACTCTTCACTCATATTTTTGAAGGGGGATATTAGAAGTATTTGGAAACAGCTTATCCATTTCCACTGTGAGCACTGGGAAAAGATCAGCATGGAAAGCCAGCATGGAATGTGGCGTGACACGTCAGGTAGCTGCTTTAATCTGCACTGTAATTACAGTGACAATTTCTGCCTCTTGAAGCATCGGGATTGAAGTGGTTACCCTGAAGGAGAAAGAAACTCAGTGGGAGAATTTCAACCAAATCTAGGATGGGAAGTGCAGCACTTCCTCTGCATTGGATTAAAAGTGATCAGCATGGCCAAAGGCATCCTGTGAGAGACAGGTAAGCAGGCTGAAAAGAAATTGGAAATATTTAAGGAATGAAGCTGGACTGAACAGAACTAGTTTTACAATTCCCTATTCCTCTTTGATTTGGTAGCATTAGGCAGACTGAAGGGTAGATTGTGCAGACTTATGCGTGACAGCAAGACACTTTTCCACACCAATAAACCCCCTGAAATTAATTGGACCGCTCACAAAAGTGCCTGGGAATGTGAACTAGGCTTGCACATTGCAGCCCTCAGATTTGATCAGCAATGCCAGGGCCAGACAGGCTGGTGAACAGCTACAGCTCAGCCAGAAATGGGAGTTCAGCAGTGGCTGGGTCAAGGTCTCTGTGGACACATCCTTGCTGAGGAGCATCTCAGCTCACCACAGCAAGAAACAGATTGAAAATAAACTGAAGGGAACTATTCTGAAAGTGAAGGGATCAGCCTCAAGTTTGTGCTTGCCACAAACTGCTGGGCCATTTGCTATGCCATGGAATTGCTTATTGTGAATGCTTTTAGTTGGTGGCAAATGCTCTAATGAGAATTAGCCTGGCCTGCAATGAGGGAAACTTAAATTTAGGTAGTTCTTCCATGTGTGCTGTGGGGTAAGAGCACACAGCCAGGTGTCCACAGAGGCATGCTTAAGCTGAGGTGCCTGTTCAGCAATTGCAAATGGGCTCCTGGAACACCAAACCGTATGAAAAACTCCCCTCACGTGCCAGTCTGGAAAGAAGCAGCTTTGTTGTTGTTTCAAAGAATTAGTGAGCCAACAATGCAAAGCTTTGGAGGTGGTTACTGGGTTTTTACTGGAGTCTCTAGGAGCTATACAAAGTCTGAAGACATTGTATGTACAGTACATCTTTAATAAGAAGGGAGCTCACAGTCTACCAAACTCTGCCAAATAAACTTTTAATACATACTGTACTTCACTCAGTAGTTGTCCATCTCTTCTTCATGGAATATCTAACAGCTCTAAAAATATTTTCTTGGAGGAGGATAGAATTATCATTGTTATATATCAATCAAGTATGGTTAATGAAGCAAAGCCAGCATGCTAGTATTGCACAAGGGGAAAAGCCTCCAGAACACAAAGTGGAACAACAAATGCCCTCAAAATTCTGCCAAAGGGAACAGGAAGCTCTGGATGCTGCATCGGTAGGATTCGTGTAGCTCTTAGGCGTCCTTGTACCACAGCAGGTTTGCTTTGCCTCTTCACTGCCACATTTCTCTCTCAAACAGGTAGGGAACTTCCAGACCATTGCAAAAAAGGAAAAAAAAAAATACAGCAGCTGCAGCAAAGTGTGGTACTATTCAATTTCTTGAAGAGTGAGGCTTTTATTTCAAAATATCATATATTAATATATATATATTTCTATATATATATATACTTTAACTGGTATAAAGTAAATTGTAGATCCAAACTTATACTGTTGCTTGTACTTTGCAATCTCAGAAACTTTAGCAAAGGAACCACTTTCTTCATTTTTTATTTTCAGCTGTCAAAAATCAGGGCCGTTATTTCCACTGAATCCTTTCTTTCACACAGTAAAGCCACTGTTGTTTTCTGGTAAACAGTCAAAGTGCAAATAAGAAATCCATTTGGCTTGTAAGTGCTGAGATGGTTTTAAACTTTCAATACTTTGTCCTCATAAATCAGCAGGGCTTTCACTGTCTCCGTGCAGACGTGGGCGCTCTGTTAAGTCCTTGGGTGGATCTGCAGTGAGAAAATGGAAAAGAGTAAGTTATGCATAATATGTTAGTTTTTAAATATAGTCTTTTGGAAAAGAAAGACCCAGGCTCTGTGGGATACAGCTGATTGATTAGCTGAGTTTAAATGCAATACTAGAGGGATGTGTGTCTTTTAGTGCTGCAGGGGTGTGAAAATAGGCAAGAGACAGATCCTGAGCAAGATCCTGCCTCTGCCTTGGGAGATACTGGATGTGCATTAACCACCTGGGCTGGTGGTGCTGGACATCACAGAATGTCTTCATTTGGCAGGGACACCTTTCCAATACCCCAGGGTGCTCCAAGTTCCATCCAACCTGGCCTTGAATATTTCCAGGGCCTCACCACTCTTACAGGTAAGAATTAATTCCTAATATCCAATCTAAACCTCCTGACTGTCAGTCTGAAACCATTCTCCCTTGTGCTGTCCCCTAATGCCCTTACAAAGAGTCTCTCTCCATTTTCCTTGTAGGAGCCCTTCAAGCAAGAAGGACAAGCCAGGACAGATTTGGGCCTGGGACTGTGCTCACCCCACCCTTCCACTCTCCCCTTCCCAGAGTGATTCCAGTTACTCCTGCTGGACAAGTAAGGCATAAAAATGGTAGACATCAGTTTAAACCAGTTCAAACCAAGGGGTTAAATGAACATTGAAACTGGGGTTAAATGAACATTGAAACTGCTCCAAAAATTGAATGACACTATTATTTCCTTCCGGTCTTTGTCACCTGCCTGACCATCAATAGAAAACAAATCAATTTAAGGAAGCTGTGAGCTTTAGAACTTTGGCTTTAAAAACTTAATTAGTGAGCTACACTGAATGGCTAAACACAGAAATAAATGCATTAAAAGGAAGCAATGAAGAATATGCTGGTAAAGACTACACTGAGTCTGTTGTCCACCTCTTTCTACTCAATCACATGCAAGACCCAAGTGAAGTTATGCACTAGCATTAGAAAATGATAGATATTGTGTATATCCATGTACTCACAAATAAATAAATAAATAAATATATAAAACATACACATATGCAATATATGTGATTTACTGTGGGTCTGGAAGAATGTACTAATGGGTATCTTAATCCCGAGAGTCATAAATGGGAATGTTTTCCTTGTCAGGACAGCAGCTAACGTAAATGTATTTAGTGTAAGGAAAAGCCTTCATTAAAATAGTTTACAGTTTACAGCCTATGGAGACTGGCTGTAGCCTTCTGCCTAATCACCACAGAGAGAACTGGAATGATGTCTGATTTCTCTTATTTCTTCTGCTTTCTTAACTTCCTTAACTACCCAAATTAGACACACATGGCCCAGTCTTGGAACCTGGATTGTGGTCAGGGCGGATTACATTGTAATCTTGTTCTCTGCTGCTATCTGAAATGGCAAAACAAAGGAAAAAAGAAAAAAAAGCCTGTTTTGGGATCTGATTGCTTCCATTATTTTATATTTATGTTGCCAGAGTTGACACAGTGGTACGGATTGGAGCAAAGTTCCAGGGACTAAGAAGTAGAATTTCTCCTCAGAAAATGCAAAAGACAGTTGCTGAGCACATCATGTCATGTTGCCTTTGTCAATTGGGTTCTGTAATGATATTTTAAAGCAACAAAGCAAAATTCTACTGGAAGCAGCACCATAAGGTACTCCCCTCACAAGCTAATTAAAATAACTCCTGTGGGTAAATGAAGAAATATTTTTTCAGTTATGAGCACTCACTCTGCAAGTATTTAATTCAAATGAAATACAATAATGCATACTGAATAGATTGGACCATACATCTGCATATTAATGAAGCTCCTAAATTTTTAGCAATCACTTCTATCGCCTTAAACTAGGTTATATGATGAGGACTGGGGGAGTTAAGAGAAGGACAGCTTCACTGAAGAAAGAAAATGCAATTCCTCAATTATATAACTTGTAGACAGATTGCAGAAGGGCTGAATTATTGTATAAGATACTTCATGTTGCTTCTTAGTTCTTCTACATCACTTTCTTCCATTTTAACTCCCCACTTTCCTCACTGGAAAGGACATGTAGCAAGTTTGTGGTCTGGGATTTAATTTCACTGCAAGGCACATTTATTAGCAAACAGCCTTCCAGTGGTGCTGCAGGGGAAGAGATCAGCTGTGGGCACAGTGAGATCTGCAGGAACAGCACCACAGAAAGAAACTGAGTCAGGGAATTCCAGTTCCCTGAATCCTTTCTCCTTTTCTCTGGGAGGTGACAAAGAGATCATCTGGATCTTGTTTTTGGGGGCCACTTACTGCTTCCTACAAAGAAAACCTCCTAAGTCAGCAGGTCTCCTGATCATTTAATGTGTTGGTGTGGCAGAAGGCTCTGCTCCAGAAATGAGGGTTGCAATTCAAATAATTCATCCTGGGGTAGAGGTCCTATGGAGGGAAAGAAAAGGATTCAGGTGCCATGGGGATCAATTAGGGTAAAATCTCCTCCTTCAACAGGAGACTTAGAAGACATGAAAAATGACTGGTGTTAGGATTGGAGAGAAAGGAAAAAGTCAGGAAATTACAACAATATGCTGCACATTTCTGTGAATTAGCAGCTGGACATGAGTATGTAGAATTTCTTATCAAACAGGGAAAAAATCTTGAAAAGTTGCTCTTTTTAATTTAGCAGGTTTCAAAAGCCATTTTCCAACTCACAGAAAATGAAAATCTACATATTTAAAAAAGCATTTTGAGTTGACAATCATGTAATTTTCTCAAGAAAAAAATTCATTTGTGATATGAAAATTAGTTAATTAAAATTTTTGAACACAGGTGTAGGTGACAGTTTAAAGACAATGCTTGTGAAACAATCACACACTGCAAAAGAAAAGCTAGAGTCTACTTCTGAGAAACACTTTTATTCCCAAGGTAATCTCATAGTGGGAGTTTAGGCAGCTCATTCACATCCTCTCTCTGCCTTTTCCTGGCACAGTGTGGTGAAAGCTGTTTTCACCTGTGCTGCCTGAACCTGCAGCATCTCAGGAGCCTGGCACTAATGAGATCATGGGCTGGAGCTGCTCTGAAGTGAGACCTGCAGTGCAAACAGAGCTGAGTCCTCTGCTCCAAAGCACTTGTGCAGCTGCTAATCCAGATGTGGCCTGGAACAGCCAAGGAATGGATACAGGATCCAGCCAACCCCTCTGAGCTAATGTTCTTCCTTTAGCCACCAGAAAGGGACTCAGTGATGTGCATTAGGTATTTTGAGGTGACAGTCTCTGTAAGAAAGTGACCTGGCAATTCAGCAGCTCCAACCTGCTGATTACCAAGCCTGGACCCAGCTGACCAGCCTGATCCATCTGAATTTTCACCCACTTATGGCCAGAAGCACTGGGTGATCATGACAGTGGTCTTTAGGACTTTTATAGCAGGCATGATGATGGAAAAGACATGGGTGAGCAGTCATTAGTGATTCCTTCTCCTGTTCAGACCTCCTGGGTGCAGACAGAAAGAAGACTTACTCTGGTGGTCTTGATTTTATTGCCAGTTGCACACATCCATCCAGAATTATCAGGCAATGTCTTACATTCCTCTCCTTCTAGGCAGGGCTCCATCTCACACCACCATTTCCCAATCACTATAGAAGCTAAAAGAGAAAAGACAATGTTCACAACTATGTTACAATGACCAAATCTAATTAAATGATATCTCAAGGGTCTAACACTGCAGTTAAAAGGCAGAGTGCCCCTTCAACTGGAGTTTAGCTGTAAGGATTTCATATTTAATTACTTGTTTGGCATCCTATATTGCCTGAGACAGTGCACTACTTGCCACAGCCTCCTCACGCAGGAGATCTGTCTGTTCCCATGCAGGGAATGCTGTGATGGCAGCAATTCTGCTGCAGACCAAAAGAGCATCCATCCTAACAGCCCCTCTCCCTGAGTGCCCATCTGATTTTCACAGACGTGTACAAGAACAAGGCAGGTCTGAAGAGATTGTCAGAATATTCTCCAGGTCTTCAGCACTTCTGGTTCAGTGTACTCCACATAAAATTATGTCTGCTTTGCTTTCAGAACCTACAGCTGGATTTTTTTTAACCACAAATCTGTCCAGAATTATTTGAACCCATGGAGACTTTTGGCTTTCCCCTTATGCCATCACAGGGAGCACCACAACTAGAAACAAAGTGTAAGGTAACCCTGAACAGCAGCAGAAGCTGTTTGTTGAAACACAACTATTAATTTTATAGAAACCATATTATCTCTAAAAGTAACTTTTAATTTCCAAATATTTAACACTGTAAATAATAGCAGTGTTTGGACCCAGTTGTTTGAATTTAATTGGCACATATGTTTACAACCTTGAATGTACCTTAATGAAGTTTCTTGCCTGGGAATTGGTATCTGACTATATCCTTAGCTGTATCTTAATGACATTTTTTGTCTGGGGATTTTGATAAACTTTAGCTAACCTTGCAAGTGTGACGAGCTGGCTCATGAGTGGCTCTTTCTGTGGCTTGCTTTCTCTGGCAATAATTAATTTCATGGTTGCACTCAGGAAGCCTGTCAAAGCTTTCTGCACAGTCACTCAAAGAGAGATGCTTAACCCATTCATATCATCCCTCATGGCTGCTTCAAGCCCAAAAAATACCTTTGAAGCAGCTGTCTACCTTATACATATATATATATTAATATATATACACTCCAGCTGACTGCCATTCAGCTCTGGAAAATGCCCTGTTGTGCATGCATTGATTTAAGGACATTATAGAACTTATAATTAAATTTTTGAATATAAAATTGAATAGAATAGTTCAGTTTAAGGGGCCCTACAATGACCATACAGCTCTCAGTGTTGTCTGGTTCTTCCCACAGCTTATATCTGATTTCTATCATATAATATATCATTTCTCCATATATACAAGACACAAAAAAGCCCTTTACACCTGTGCTGGCAAGGCAGTTTAACGATGCTGTTCACACCCTATTTCAGAAGGGTATCATTAATGCTGCTAACAGCAGAGAAAAAAGATCTCTCTCTTTGCTATGCATGAAAAGGCAGGAGAGCTGAATCTGTGCTCTAATAATAGACTGTGCAGTGGGCAAACTGAAAAACCATATCCTGCTAAATACTGGCCTTCACAGCAATCATCAGAGCAGAGCATCCTCAGGATGCGTGAGAAGAATCCTGTGACACGGAATCGAAAGTGATGATCATGATTATTTACTAGGAGCAGTGCTGTAGCATTAAATAACCACGGAGAAGGATCCTACAGTGCAAGGTACTAAAACCCACAACCTGAACACCCTGTCCTGGAGAGTTTACCATGTAAAACAGAGATTTGAGGTGAATCCAGACTGAGGGGCAGCCTGGAGAAGCAATGCTGCTCATAGCAGTTCAAATGATCTCACTACTTTTTAATGTTGTTAAACACAGCCCAAGTATTCAGATCTTGACCTTGAAGAATAATCAAATGCAAAGTCAGTGGAGAACTTTAATGGCAACTGACTCATATAGTGGTGTATTGGGTTTGGTATATAGATACATATTATTATTGATTTATGATAGTGCAATTACAGCCAAGTGCCCATCAGTGAGCACCCTCACCTGGACTGAACACCAGGCTCCTTTTATAATGGGGGAAACTAATGTGAGAAATTTGCAGATGAAAAGCTCCTCTTTGCTTCTAATTTGTATGTAGGCAAAATCCTTTGTAAGTCTGAAGCACTTCAAAGCTCACTGTGGTCTAGTCCTCAGCCCCTTACCATGGCAAGGGCATCCAAAACCCAAAGAAAATTCCTTTCTTTGAATCTTGTGTTTATAGGTTTTCTCTTCTATTAAGAGCCCTTTAATCCTTAGGACCAGTTGTCTTTCTTGGGTACTGCTGATCCTTTGAGTTCTCCTTGATTTCAAAGTTTTACACCTCCAAAGAGGGAGGAAAACACTTTAAAATGAATCACAGTTTGCAGCATTTGAGATTGGGCCCAGCTGTAGGATGGAGCTTCTCTATGTTTAGGTTATGTCACTTTGAGATGAGCTGAAGCAGTTGGGTCAAATTGCTCAAATTAAGATGCTCCCCCCCAGGGTGGTTTTTATTCAAGAACTCCCAGATCCAGAGGAACCTGAGCTTCTCAGTGAGCCAAACCACTCATCCTGGGTGAGAACTAGAGAGCCCTGTTAATCACCAGGCAGCACAGGCTGTGAGTGCTCACATCAGGCTGAATTAGGCACCTGCAGCATTCTGGAGTGCTTCTCACTGTGCTCCTCTCCCTGTCTGGGGATACACGAAGCACAGGAGTTTCTCCAGGCAAGGCTGAATTGACTGAGGCAGATCCCTCTGCCATGGGGAAAGGAAAAGGACACAGAAGACAAGAGTTTTGACTACTCCTGCTTTGCTTGTGTTTTGTTTCAGTGCTTTTTTATTTTTTTTTTCTTCTCATCACCTTCTAGGTTAAATAAGGGATTGTTTATATCTCAACTATTTTCAAGAAAAGTCCTCTTTTAAAGAATATTTAACTCTTAATATATCACCAATGGAGCTGGGGAAAAAAGCAACTTTATTCAGGAAATTCTCGAGGTTTATTTTTCAGCCTAAATAATGCTTTTCTAAAATCTTTGTTTGCAAAGCCATGGAATAATTTTTATCAAAATATTTAACTTTTGATGTATTTAGTCTGCATGGATTAACACACACAAAAAGCATTTGGCTGAAATGGCATTTGCAAATCATGGGCTCCAAACAAATAAACTACAAATAAGAAATCTGAAGATCAGATAGAATAAAGGGGAAAAGCAATAGAATAGATTATATTTTCTCATGTTTACACACTTCTATTGCATTTTAAAATACAATTGTTCCCAAAGATAATGCCCAAAGCCTTAGGCAGCTGCAGGGCACTGCCAGTTGAGCTTGGATTCAGTGGGATTCAGCCTTCAAAGTTCACGAGAACCTTTGGAGGCTGCACAAGGGTAGTGACCATGCTCTGATTTGCTCCTATGCATCATCTGGAGCACAAAGTTTTGATGCATGAAGGCAGCTGGCTGGGAAAAAGTTTCCCCTTGAATTTCAGCATCAAAGTATTCTCTTAAGGAGCAGTGGAAATAAAATGAACACCTTCATATATCTTCACCTAAAAGATCAAATCAACATGGAAACATTAATTGTTCAATCATCCTCCTCTTGAGTCAAACAAAGTTTGGAAAAAATACACAATCCATTTGATTAAAGATGCCTGTTGAAACTCCTGAATTTATTATGTTTCACATTTCTCAGTCTTCAAGTTCTTGCATTAAACTGAAGCTACTCAGTTCCTCAAAACCATTTCACAGGTGATTAACAGGACATGGACAGTGAAAATGTGCACACACAGCCCAGACACTCACAGGCAATTGCTTCTGTCGTTTTTGCTACTCCTGTCTGTAGAGAAAACTCAAATTCTTTCTGTTTTGTTTTGCAGATAAAATTCTCCTTAACTTTTCTGCATCTGTATTTAGGAAATGGCTTTACCAATATGACAGAGTCTATATGGCAAAAAGTATAAAGATATTATATTTAACAATGTAACAATAAGACCATCCTCACAGAGCAACAGATAACTTTAATTCATGTTTATGGAACACCCTGAAATATGAAAACAGAGCAAAGTATCATCATGCATTTTTCAACAGTTTAGAGGGAACATGCTATGTATTAAAATGTTCCAAGATCGCTTCTGCAGTTGCCATTATAAAGCCACAGCAGCTCTCATTTTGCCTGTGATAAAGTGGGCACGTTTTGTTTATATAGAAATAGAATACAAAGGAATGGAGATATTAGATTGTGGCTCCTCCTGGTCATGGGTATCGTGTTACTGCAAGGAATAAGAAGCTCATTTTCAAAGCCAGTATGACACTCATTCCAGGATGGGAAAGTTTTCCCTGTAAGTACAGAGCATTCCGTTTTAATCTCGTTTCCACCAGCGAAGATTGATATAAATAAAATTTAAATAGAGAACGCATTTCACAGATGTCAGAAGTGAAAAAGACTTTGTCAGCTTAATGAAAAGATATCAATTTTCTCCACTTTATTCAATATATTGTGAGTCATTTTCTAAATGGATTAGATTAAAGGAAAGTTCAAACTCCCTGTGAGAGATTCTTGCACTGATGGAGATTTTGGCAATAGCAACAGCACAGAGGTGGGTAAAATCTTTCAAGTAGTTTGTCTTTTTTTTTTTTTATTTTAGAAAAGACATAAACTAGAATGGGAAAAACTGTAACCCTGTGCTCACCTATTCCTTATACAACAAAATCTCAGAGAATTGAATGAGACATGCAGTTTCTCTTGGTTTATTGGGATGTCATGGGGAGCAGAATGAATTACAGGGGTGGGAACACACTTTCTGGGAGGATAAGAAAACTGGACTGAAAGAAAGTGTCATCTGAAGGGTTATGTATTTCATAAACAGACCGAGATAGCAGCCACTCCGGGAGCTGTAGAGAAGAAATCTGATAAGTTAAAGAATACCAATCCAAAACAAAAGATTTCAGGTTGAATATTGCTATCTGGGAGAAAAGCAGGATGTTTCCTACAGGGAGTCCAAACTATCAAACTCTCTGCTTTAATTCAATCTTACTCAATTTTAGAAGTATCAATCTAATGCTCCT